TCAAAGACAATAATTTGAAAAAGTAGTTCGGTGATATCTCGATCTACCGATTAAGGCAATGTATGATAAGACCATGTTAAAAAAAAAAACTTTCAAAAAGCATTTTTCACCGCATATCCCTGAATGTTCGAATGGAAAAAGCATGAATAATAACTTTATTCTACATTCAGAAACATGAATTTTGGCGTAACAAAGATATTTTCATCTTTATTCGTCTCTGAGCTACATCCATTTTTATTTTCATACCATTGGGGGGGAGTAGGGGTCGAACGACGCATATTTCAGAGTGGCAAGAAACGTTTTTACATTCAGGTATGATGTAATTGAAGATAAAAAATAAGTTGTTAACTTTAATAATTTATTTCCCATTTTTGGCTCTATGCGCTTCCACTATAGGTATTTCCTCCAACGAGGTGGAATGTATTCTCCACGTCTGTCTCAAAACTACCGATAATTTTTGAAAAACTTGCAGGAATGTCAAGTTGAAAAATGAACGAGTGCGCAATTGCACAATTGAGATCTTTTTTCAGTTTAACCCTTCGACCTACAAGCTTTTTTCTGCACGTTTTTTGATAACCTGGGTACATTTTGTCCCCACGATTAAAGTGAATGTTTTAGTGGAATAGGTTATGCCATCATCAAATAAATAATAAATACACATTTGAGAAACATCTTTAACAATAAAAAAAATATACAGGGTGTATATTTTAAGTGATACCACTATTGCTATATCCGAAACGGTAAGAGTTACAAGGTCGGTTAAATTAGAAAAAAGTTGCCTTTTTTGATGCATATTCAAGATTTGTTAACAATGTTGCCAAATTTCTTTAGGTTTATGAAATACAGGGTGATCTCTAAGAAACGCCCAAAAATATGTCATCAATTATTTCGGAATCTATTGATTTTCAAGACAATTTAAATTTGAAAGTTTTATATTTTTTTTCGCTCTACAACATGGCATCTTCAAATTTCAAATCCGACGTTTCGTGATCGAGCTACCATCATCAACTTCATTTTTTTAAATACGGACATGAATTTTTTATGCTATTTTTGGAAAGCGCCCTTCATTCTCTTTCTAAAAATGACATAAAAAAATCCAGGTCCGTATTTAAAAAAATGAAGTTGATGATGGTAGCTCGATCGCGAAACGTCGGATTCGAAATTTGAAGATGCCATGTTGTAGAGCAAAAAAAAATTATAAAACTTTTAAATATAAATGGTGTCTCGAATATCAATAGTTTTCGAAATAATTGATGATATAATTTTGAGCGTTTTTTGGAAAAGTATTTCATGAACTAAAAGGAATTTGACAACACTGTAAACAAATGTGGAATGGGCATCCAAAAAGGCAACTTCTTTCTAATTTAACCGACCTTGTAGCTCTTACTGTTTCAGATATAGCAATAGTGGTATCACTTAAAATATACACCCTGTATAAAAACATAATTTTGAGAAACAAAAGTTCGGGCGCTAAGTTGGCTATGTAGGCTTCAAACCCTTCCATAGCACACGCACCTGTCCCAGAATTTATTATTTTTTATTAATTTATTTTTTTATTAATATTATCATTATTATATGTTGTTATATATGTATTATAAGCTGATTTAAAGTATCAACACCCCCTTTTGTAGGGTTGTAATCAAGAAAAAAATGTTTTTCTGCTTTACTACCATAGACATATAATAAAAAAGGAGACAGAACATCTCAATCAAAAATCATTATTTGTTTACAATCATACATAATGCCAGAGTTATGCATGAGTTAGAAAAAGATGGGCTCAAAAAATGGCACCGCTGTAACCTGCCCCTCCATTTCCCGGGCTGCCTCTATCAGAGGCGTGCGGTTTTCCTAGATCATGAAAAATTAAGAATACAAATGTTTTTCAAAATATTTTTGAATGATGAAATCTCCTAAAATAATATTATGTCGCATATTATTATTTCTTTCATTTATTTATGTTTTTAAAAAAACTTTATAATAAATTAGTATTTGTTTAATGTCCTCTAAATATACAATTAACCACACCACTGCTTGGCTAAAAAAAACATAAACTGACGTACCGTCGAAATACAAATCCAGGGTTAAAATAGGCAATTTTTTTCACAGATCACGCAATGGCGAAACATTGTAGTTGCTAATAAAATATAAAAGACGGAAAAAACACTGAAAATTGATTGAAAATCGAAAATATTCCCAAACACAGCACAGCAACACTGGATAGTCAATTTTTGTACATAAAATGACTGAACGTGTCAAATCCCGTGTCACTGGAGTAAACAGCGTTGCCACAGCTATTTCCCTAATACATTATAAATTTACGTTATTCAGAAACTTAATAATTTTTATAGTAGAAATTACAGATTTTATTTGGAAAAACGCACATTCATATGTGTAGTTACATTTTCAATTGAGATGACACAAATAATGCATGCAAAATGATCAACATTCCCTACGTTTTCAAACACAGGCGGTAAATCTAGGGCAATCCGCAGAAATTCGCCAACATTGATTTTTGGAGAAAACAATGTTTGATCGGGATAAAATGTAAACAGTTCAGTCTCTCTTTTATTATATGTCTATGTTTACTACAACCGGGGTGCATAATGTACCCTTCCTCAATTATTGTAAATAAAAATCCAATAATTTAAACAACATCACCTAAAATCTGCATACATGTGTATACTGCAATAATAAACAGCTATTATAAGTGGCGCTTCGCTAACCTGTCAAATCCACAAAAATGCGAAAAATTCGGAATGTGGGTCCAAAATGTACCCGGGTTGTAGGTGGAAGGGTTAAAAGGCATGAGTGAAGATTTTTGTCGAAAAATATCGATGCATGTTAGTTCAATGCACCAGTTATATTTTATCAGAAAATTTCATACAAAATATACTGGAACTCTATCATGACAGCCAATTAAATTTATAATCCGAAATTGACCTGTCACAGAATGAAAAGCAAATCGATAACCGATAATAATTTATCTGTCATCGGAATCCCTCGCCTTGGAGGCTCTTGATTTGCTTAGGCAATATGCAGTATGCATTATGCTTTTATTAGAAAAATTTAATGTGAACTAAATTTTCGAAAAATTTCCTTATTAGTTAAAATTGACGAAATTTTCTGTCAGGCAATTTCCAATTTGATCAAGCTTATTTTCATTGTTTATTATTTTTGTATTTAATCTTAAAGTTTTTATTATATTTATTCATACATTTCAAAAAAAGCTTTATTCTTTTTCTGTTAGAACGCTGAGCTATTAAAACATGAATTTGTTTGAGGACGGAGTTAAAAATACATGAAATTATCAATAGTAATATAACTAGTGCAATGGAAATTATTGATAATTTTTGGGAAATTTGCCCGAATGCATTTTTAGTTGAAAAAGAGCACGAGTGCACGTAGTGCACGAGTGCCTTTTTCAGTTAAAAACGCATGAGTGCAAATTTTGTCGAAAATTATAAATATATTTCCATTGCACGAGTTGTATTTAATGAGAGAATTTCATAAATCAAAAATTTAAATTTTTTGTCAAAAAATGTCAAAACACCAGTTTTCGCACCAGTTAGTATGCAATTATCGCGTAATTACAATCTGATTGGTTCAAATCAACAATCAAAACATGTCAATTTATTGTTGGAATACCAGTTTTGACAGATGTATGAAATTCTCATTGTAATATTCCTAGTAGCAAATCACTATTACTTTGCTGATGCCCGAGGGATATTCTAATATTTCCTTAAGCCTCACCCCCCTACAAATCATAATAAATTTTGTAAACATTGGAATTGGTCCCCAGGTGGGTACATAAATCCCATCCCTCTGAAGAGGCCTGCCTGAGGGCCGGTTTATCAATAGAGGGTCAAATTTGCAGGACATATTTATCTACCGGTCGAAGTAGTGTATTTTTTATCCATTACATTTTATCTCTGCTCCAGGTTATGAAACCTAGATTCGCGGCACTTCCTCCATAATTGCCAGAGCTAGGTTAATTGTGATTGGTCGAAAAAATCAACATAACCTAAAATAACATATTATTATTATGAAATATTAATTGATAGGGCGATTCGACGTTCTCTCAATTCAATATGGCGCCGTGGGGATGACACACCTGACAACTGGAAAGGCACGTTTACATTCAATTCCCATTCAAATTTGGAATGAATGTAAACGCACCTTCACGGTCGTCAAGTTTGTTATGCCCACGTCGCCATCTTGAATTCTCAGCTGATTCGAATTGCCTAATATATGTTTTATTTACATTTCCCTTTGGTTTGGTTGTTGTGAAAAAATAGCTGAGACTAAAATTAGCGAAATTCCGTCAAAATCTATTTAAGCTGGCAGGGGGCAATTTTTCTGCAGCAGAACTATTCCCTTAGATATTTTAAGGATTGGTGATTCTATTTGGGTACTTGCCGTTGATTTTCTTACACTGATGCAATCTCCAGCAATATAAAAAATCACCAGTTGCATATTTCAATATTCAGCAATTGATTAATTGATTCTTATATATTTGCTTTCTGCTTTCTGAATTCTGGCTAGCATAAAAACGTCATTTCACCTATCGGTTTAAACGACCATATCCTCAATTTTCAATTTATTCTAAAATTACTAATACTGTAGGCTTGTTAGTCCTAAATCTAGTGAAAAAGTCTACTTCGTCATAATTTCCACATGGATTATTCCGTTGTTGAAGTACCTGAAATAAGATCGTTTCGTAGATCATCATCATCGCTTATATTGTCGAATGCTTCCATCGTAATATTGGGTATCACAAAACACGAATGAAAATTTAGTATATATTCACACGAAACAAAAAAATAAGTTGGTATTAATCTGTTCCTGCCACAGTGAACAAATTAAAATACAAAACATTTCAATTAGGGCTACCAGGCTTATCTTTCACAAAACCTTAATCACCTTTGAGACTACATAAGTACCTACATATCGCAACATCGCAACCCTACAACACAAGAACGTTGCTCGAAGGGGGGAAGGAAATGGAAGAAGAAATAGCTGAGATAAAATGGGATATCATAGGAGTAAGCGGAACCAGACAGCCATGCGGAAATCTAAATTCTTTCGAAGATTTACTATCAGGGGAAATGAAACTCAATCATTTGGAGGAGTTGTTCAGACTTGTAAAATATTAAATTTCTTTTCACATTTTTTAAGGTCTAAAAAAGCAACCACGACAGCAAAAATCAATCCAATGCATTTTATTTAATTTTGCACTAGTGGAAACAAGCCCTTAATTTGACATTGCAAGGGATGCCGCACTCAGCGATTTTAAAAATAGCATGAGTCAGTACGCAATGAGCCACAGAACGAGAAGGTGGGTGTCGTGTTCGTTTTTTAACGCCTTTTTCGTTTTTTATGAAGCCTGTGCGCTCAGATACCTTAAAATCGTTGTACTCAATAACCAGCCTGTGTCTGGTACTCTTGTTTTGACCCCCTCGAAGTAATAGTGCTCATTAAATCACGTTTAAGTTAAATTCAAAATTCCGGTGTTTCATTTTCCTAGATACAGTCCACTAACGCATTTCTTCCTTTTATCTATGCTTTAACGCAAAGCCTGAAATTCAGCGATCGCTTTATAGTTGAAGAAACGGGAAAGCGGTGTTGCCGATCCAGTGCAGCATAAACATGGTCCTTCGAGCCGGATTGAACATTCTGGAATTTTGAAGTGCATTTTTTACTTTAACGTGATCGGACTTATTCGGGGTCAAATTAAAAAACATTTTATCATTTAATCTTTCCCTCTCGCGTGTGACTACGGACAATTACAGTTCGTGTGCAGCTTGAGGCAGCTTTGAATGAAACTTTATCTACAGTTTACACTTGGAGCTTTCAAGGTAAATTCGTTTTATGTTGTACATTGCTAGTAGAGCAGCAGTAGCCGGTTCTTTAGTTCAGAAGAGCTGCAGTGCTGAAGCAGACCAAAATCGATTACATTATCGCATTTGAGCCAGTTGGGCATCTTCAGTGCAGAAGGGCGTCCCAGGTTCCAGGTTAATGGTGCCTTTACCATTTAGGCCCAATTATTAACATCATTTCTCAGTTGTTCCTGTCTAGGGGGAGTAAAAGTCAGTCGTATCGTGGTCGGAACGCACTTTTATAAACTGTGAGGACTTTTTTGAACGTTTTTTCATTATTCTAAAAATTTGCATTTATTTTAGATTTTTTTTGCATTTATTTTAGATTTTTTGCATTTATTTTAGATTTTTCTTGTAGGAACTTGTTTGTTAGTCTAGTTTTAAGTAGTCCAAGTTCATTTATTGTTAAGGTTGCATTGCAATACCTGTTTACGAAAAATTAGGTGAAGAAACTTTCAATTAACTTTGTGGCTACAATTATTAACCCTACTTTTTATCATTCATTATATCGTTTTCCATTACATTCAACATGCCAAAAAGAAGGCAAAGCTCAAGGCAAAGTCATGTCACAGAAAATGCATCTAGTGATGCTCATCAGATTCAAATCGACGAATTAATTCGAAAAAGAAACATTTTAAACTCAAAATTAATTCGCTTTACTTCATTTCTAAATTCTTTTAATGATTCACCAAGTAGTTCAAGGCTTATTGAATTAGATACTCGTTTAAAGGATTTGGAGGGTGGCTTGCTCACAGAGTATAATGATGTCCAGTTTCAGTTAGAGGGCATTGATTTTGAGAGATTTCATGATGATACTGATAATTCATTTGAAAATATTTACTATCGCACCATTTCTTTAGCCAAGGAGCATATGTTCAACATTTCAAATCCCTCTCAAAATGCAAGGGCTCCAAGCTCACCACCCAGTTCGTCTAATTCAAATAGGGCATTGAATGTAAAATTCCCAACTATAGAGTTGCCAAAGTTTTCGGGAGCTTACGATAGATGGCTTGAGTTCAAGGAAATATTCGTATCATTAGTTCATAGCTCAGAAAACCTTGACCCAGTGCAAAAGTTTCATTATTTGAGAGCTTCTTTAGAGGGTTCAGCATCTCAATGTGTTCAATGCCTCGACTTGACGTCCGAGAACTATGAGTTGGCATGGGACATTTTATGTCAAAGATATGACAACAAAAGGCTCATAGTTCACAATCACATTAAATCTTTATTCAATATTCCAGAAATTAAACAGGAATCTCAATCATTTCGCAATTTGGTCGATCTTTTATTAAAAAACATTAAATCTTTGGAAAAAATAGGCATTAAAACTGAAAATTGGGATCCATTGATCATATATTTTGTGACTAGTAAGTTTGATTCAGATACCATTCGAGAATGGGAACGATACGTGGCTGATGATGATTTTCCAATTATTCAGCAATTACAAACATTTTTAACAGCTCGTGCAGATTTCTTGGATAAAATTGGACTTCACAAACCCAAATTAAACAATACATTTAAACTCAAGGGAAATTCTGGAACTCGGTTTTCTGGAAATTCAGCTATCCATGATTCTCATTCCAAAGGCACCAGCCAGAAGTCTTCTTGTTATCAGTGTGGTAAACCTCATTCAATTTATCGATGTGAAGAATTCATTGCGTTATCATTAAGGGACAAAAAAGAAAAAATTAGGAATCTGAAGTTGTGTATAAATTGCCTTCAGAAAGGTCATGACATTTCAAGTTGTAAATTGGGTTCTTGTCGTCATTGTGATGAGAAACACAATACATTACTACATCCCTTTAATGCAGGTTCTAATGGTACTTCTCCCATGGCAAATAAAGGTCACCGATCAGTGACAGATGTCAATACTCACACCACAAGCTGCAGTGCCTCATTCAAAGGCCAAATCTTGCTTGCAACTGCATTGGTAGAGGTTATTAATAGTCAGGGTCAAGTACAGGTGTGTAGAGCTCTTTTAGACAGTGGGTCGATGTCTAACTTCATTACTATCGACATGGCCACTAAATTGAATGTGCCACAAGAATCGGTGGACATTTCGGTTTGCAGCATTGATGAGGCACAAACTCGGGTGTCAAAGTCTTGTATTATTCACATTAGGTCATTGCATTCAGCCTTCAAGACAAACATTCATTGTTTGATGATTCCAAATATCACCAATAATTTACCCACGATAACAATAAATCCAAACCTCTTTGAAATACCAGCTAACATTCAACTGGCTGATCCTAAATTCTATGAGCCTAACAAGGTAGACATTCTTATAGGTGCTGCTCATTTCTGGAAACTTTTATGTAAAGGCACAAAACATTTAGGCGCAAACATGCCAGTGCTTCAAAGGAGCAAACTAGGTTGGTACGTTTCAGGCCCTGTCGCAGATACTCAGCAACAGAAAACCAATTGCCTCATGTCAACAAATGCAGAGGTTCAAGCCTCATTGACGAAGTTCTGGGAGCTTGAAGAGGTGGATCCAGTCAAATCTCTTTCTGGTGAGGAACTGAAGGCAGAGGAGCATTTCCAAAAAACCGTCAAGCGAAACCAGGATGGAAGATTTGTTGTTTCGATTCCGCTTAAGGAATCAACCTCGAAGCTCGGCGAAACTAGATCTGGTGCCCTGAGACAATTTCTTTCCTTAGAAAAACGACTATCTTCCAATCCCAAACTCAAGCAGTTGTATACTGAATTTATGCAGGAATACAGCGAATTGAACCACATGTCTCCTTTCCAATCAACAGACAATGAAACCTGCTTCTTTTCGCCCCATCATGGCGTTCTTCGAGAAGAAAGCAGTACCACCAAGCTACGTGTGGTATTCAACAGTTCCTTTGCTTCTTCAAGCGGCTGTTCTTACAATTCCTTGCAAATGGTGGGTCCGACAGTTCAGGAAGACCTCCTTTCAATTCTTTTACGTTTCCGCCAGCATTCCTACGTTGTATCGGCAGATATATGTAAAATGTATCGACAAATTCTTGTCGCTGATGAGTTTAAACCGCTCCAGTTAATTTTATGGCGCTCGAGTCCTGAGCAAGAACTCCAAACATTTTCATTAAACACTGTTGTGTATGGAACCGCCAGTGCTCCTTTTTTGGCGACGAGGTGCTTGTTGCAATTATCAAACGAAAGCCAAGAATCTCACCCTCAAGCATCAGAGGTCATTAAGAGGGACTTTTATGTTGACGACCTCCTTTCAGGTGGCGGGTCAGTCAATGAAGTGGTTGAAATTTGCAAGCAAGTCAGTTCCATACTAAACGGTGCAGGACTCAATTTGAGAAAGTGGAAATCCAATAACTCTAATATTCTTGACCAGATTAAATCCTTGCATAACTCAACAGACAAGTTTTACTTTAACCAGTGTGAAACATCCAAGACACTCGGAATGCTTTGGTCGAGCCAAGAAGACACCTTATCTTACTATATTGGATCCCTTCCCTCTCCCAAAAAACTCACAAAACGCTTTGTTCTTTCAGAAACGGCCAAGATCTTTGACCCTCTTGGGTTACTTGGTCCAGTTGTCATCACAGCAAAGATATATTTGCAAAAACTGTGGTCTCTCAACTTGTCATGGGATGAGGAACTACCTCATGAACTTGCAACCAAGTGGATGGCTTTACGCTCTGAATTCCCTGAGCTCAATAACTTGCACATTTCTAGACAAGCTACATGCAAGGATTTCATTGAAATTGAGTTGCATGGATTTTCAGACGCGTCCCAGCACGCATATGGGGCTTGCATTTATTTGCGTGCAGTGGATCGAAACAGACAGGTTCATGTGCATCTTCTTATCTCTAAGACACGGGTAGCCCCACTTAAGTCTGTCAGCATTCCCAGATTGGAGCTATGTGCTGCTCATCTTTTAGCACAGCTCTATTCAAAGATCAAGTCCTCCTTGTCTATCAACTTTAACGATATATATTTTTGGTGCGATTCCACAGTGGCGCTTTCTTGGATCCGTTCTTCATCAAATAACTTTCAAGTATTTGTGGCAAATCGAGTTACACAAATTCAAGCACTTGCTCCGCCTGAATTATGGAGATACGTACCAACTTCGCAGAATCCAGCCGATCTCGTTTCAAGGGGTGTCTCACCAAAAATACTTGCAGCCTCAGAAGAATGGTTTTGTGGTCCTTCATGGCTTCATTATCCTTCGTCAGAATGGCCAATCGACATTTCTATATCTTCTCCAATTTCCATTCCAAACCTGCCAGAGGTCAGAAAAATCGTCTATGCCTTAACGCAGAGCAAGTTTCTGGCTTCTGAAGTAATCCCTATCGAAGATTTCTCCTCGTTCTCACGCCTTAGACGTGTGATGGCATACTGCATGAGGTTCATTCAGAATTGTAAAATTCCTAAACATCAAAGAAGCACTGATGAGCTAACATTGGGAAACTTGCGAGAAGCGACCACAAGGTTGATCATGCTTGTTCAACGTGAGTCGTTCCCTGAGGATTTATCCATATTAAAAAGACAAGGATTTGTCAATAATCAAAGTAACCTTTTAAATCTGACCCCAATTTTAATTGATGGCATCATAAGGGTTGGGGGCAGGCTTCGCCACTCAGCTTACCCATTGGAAAAAAGGCATCCAATTCTATTGCCAGCCAAACATCATTTTACTTACTTAATTTTTAAACACGAGCATTCAAACCATTTTCATTGTGGCCCACAATTATTATTGTCTATCGTTCGTGAGTGCTATTGGCCAATCTCTGGAAAAACCTTAGCAAAGAGGGTAGTGAGGGAATGCATCTTGTGTTTCCGGTTCAAACCTAAATTCATTAAACCCATGATGGGGGATTTACCAAAACCTCGTGTCCATGCCAACCCACCGTTTTCAAACGTTGGAGTCGACTACGCAGGCCCGTTTTATTACAAAGACCGCAAGGGTCGAGGTGGCAAGATTTTAAAATGCTATCTTTGTCTTTTCGTTTGCCTGGCAGTCAAGGCCGTCCATTTAGAACTGGTCACAGAATTGAGTACATCAGCTTTTCTAGAGGCATTCCAACGGTTCATTTCGCGTAGAGGCAAGCCATCTAGCGTACACTCAGATAATGGTAGTAATTTTGTTGGTGCAAACAACCAATTAAAGGAACTGAGTCAATTCTTAAAATCAAGCAAAGGCGATATCATTAAGCAACTGGGTGATGATCTGAACATTGAATGGCATTTCATTGCAGCTTACTCACCACATCATGGTGGAATCTGGGAAGCAGCGATCAAGTCGGCAAAACGGCATCTATTAATGACTTTGGCTTCTTCTCCCACCACATTGACTTTTGAAAGTTTTTACACTGTCATTACTCAGGTTGAAAGTGTCTTGAATTCAAGGCCGTTGACACCAATGTCTACGGACCCAAATGATTTGTGTGCATTAACTCCGTCGCATTTCTTAATCGGGCGTACATGCGAATCTCTTCCATATACTGACGTAACACTTACTCCCTCCAATCGACTGAGTCACTTCGAGCAATTGGAAAAAATAAAGCAGCATTTCTGGGAAAGATGGTCCCGGGAATACGTTACAAATTTGCAACAGAGACATAAGTGGAAAGTTCACCAACCCAACCTTTCTATTGGGGATATGGTGTTCGTACATGACAATGACTTACCTCCATTCAAGTGGCGCCTAGGGCGCATTATCGAAGTTCATCCAGGGTCGGATGGCGTGGTGCGAGTCGCGAGTGTGAAAACCGCGTCGGGCCTTATAAAGCGGGCGGTCGTTAAACTGGCTCCGTTGCCCTTAGATTAAGTACTAGTTTAAGGTAGCTTTTCATAACTTACTGAAAGCCTATTAATTTTTTAGATGTAAGTATTATTTAGATGTTCTTAGGATAAATCATTACTTTAAATTGTTCACTGTTCATTATTCATTGTGCATTTCATTTGAAACTCATGTTGAAATGATCTTTCAACGGGGGGGCCATGTTCAGACTTGTAAAATATTAAATTTCTTTTCACATTTTTTAAGGTCTAAAAAAGCAACCACGACAGCAAAAATCAATCCAATGCATTTTATTTAATTTTGCACTAGTGGAAACAAGCCCTTAATTTGACATTGCAAGGGATGCCGCACTCAGCGATTTTAAAAATAGCATGAGTCAGTACGCAATGAGCCACAGAACGAGAAGGTGGGTGTCGTGTTCGTTTTTTAACGCCTTTTTCGTTTTTTATGAAGCCTGTGCGCTCAGATACCTTAAAATCGTTGTACTCAATAACCAGCCTGTGTCTGGTACTCTTGTTTTGACCCCCTCGAAGTAATAGTGCTCATTAAATCACGTTTAAGTTAAATTCAAAATTCCGGTGTTTCATTTTCCTAGATACAGTCCACTAACGCATTTCTTCCTTTTATCTATGCTTTAACGCAAAGCCTGAAATTCAGCGATCGCTTTATAGTTGAAGAAACGGGAAAGCGGTGTTGCCGATCCAGTGCAGCATAAACAGGAGTCGGTTCCTTCGTACACCAGAAAGCACACAAAAACGTCATCAGAATTGTTGTCACTAGCATTCTTGACAATTCTTGCAATTTGAAAGATGTATTGTATTGTCCTGACGTGGTTACTGTATTTTAATTTAACTGCGTTCGCGGCTTAGCACTTCGCACCTGAAGAAATGAATACATATAGCCTAAGTCTATAGCTTTATTAGAGAAAATTAAGAAATATTGAAACAAAACATTTCTGAAAAAAAAAGCCGACAATTTGCTGGTAAAAATGCGCTCACCTTACAGGTCTGTTCTCAGTGGTAATAGTTCAAGGACATTGGTAATTGTTGGAAAAAAAATGTATAATAGATTTCTAAAGCTTGTTGCTTGAATTGGTGATTTGTGTCACATGACATTGAATAACAAAATTTAACTGGCTGTCAGAACTGTCAATAAAATTCCACAGAAATCACAAGCCAGGCAGAGCGAATTTAATTGGTTGAAAATAGTCAGAAACTGTTTGTTGGCCATTTGCACCAATCAAAAACGCTCTGACTGGTTAGTGATTTCTGTGAGAACAAACCTTGCTTCTTACTTGCAGGTACCACTATAGAATGGCCTAATAACGTGAAAGTCAGCATGCACTGTTAAAAATAGTTAGTAATTTTACGTTAAATTACTATTTAATTATAGGTATTACAACCGTAATTCAACGTAATTTCACTACATCGATTGTATTTTTACATAAACTTGCCGAAAAATTACACACATAGTCGTAATATTACACATGAAAATTACATTAAAATTTTGGTATCTTGACAGAAAATGAACCGGAATATAACGTAAGTTAAGACGTAAATGTGATCAAGCCTTTACGTAAAAACACGATTAAAAGTCGGAAAAGTAGGTTTATGAATATGTATTTTTACTTCATTATTACAGTAAATTTACTAAAATATTTAAGGTAAGTAACTCCTCAAGCTCAGGATCGGTAGAATTTAATACTTGGGGCTTGTATGATCATCGACTTCGGGGTTCCATGAGGAGCACCCCGCCCTTTCAACAACCCGACATTTTTTATTGGATTTTCTATATCCTCAGGTCTTTCTTGTTTGTTCCTATAGTTATTCCTATCCTGAATTTTTCCAAATAGCGCATGGGAACCGTAACCAATAACGATGCAATCTTCATCAATGTCTCTAAAAATAGCATTTTTGAAAAGAAGTACATACATTTTACAATAGGAACAAATCATTATGAATTTCCTTACCTTCAACCAATAATTGATGAAGCCGTGTTGTCTGGTCGATTAAAATTAACACCACCACTTATACTTCACTCAGTTAACAATCCAATCCAAGATTCTGCTTGTTTAAGAAAAGCAATTAGAAGCCACAAGGTATTCCAGCAGCGTGTGGTGAAATTAAGAGATTCGCCGAAAAATTACGATAATATACGGTTAATATTCCAAAATTAGGTGAATTTCACAAATAAGTAGGCGATTTTACATATTTTACCGTAATAATACACTCTTCGGTAGAATATTTACGATACTATTGAGTAAAAATACACAATTTTAGTAAAATATCGTTTAATATCACGAATGTTATTTTATGGCGTAAAAATCCTTGAAAAATTATATTTTTTTAAAGCATTCTTAATGTAGTTTTCACCCTATTTTTAACAGTGTGGTACAGAAAAATGTTCTTATGTAAAAATTTAAAATCAACCAACGTATTATAATAATATGTAAGATGAGATGTGTTAGGTCCACGGTATGCATTTCACAAAATACAAATTTTGTTCTAGGTAATATTGCTCGCAATTTTGGAGTTGGCCGACTTACTTCCTCAAGTACAGGAACTACGTCTATCATTGGCAGATGTAGCCACTAGCTATAGCAATTATGAACCCGAAGGTAAAAATATCTGTTTAATGTCAGTAATATAGCGATGAAAAAAAAACATTACATGAAAATTCCAATTATTTTTCCATCCATTATTTTTTGAAATTTTATGAGCCATTGATCTAATGAGGACACATAAGAAGAATATCCTTTTTATGTGTCCTATTCCCATAAAAACAATTATTATTTCTTGAAATAAAAATAGAACCTACATTCAATTTCAAGTTTTCATTGTAATTAAAAGGTCCAGGGACATACGCGTTTGGATACGAGCTGGACAATCCGGAAACTCAGAATGTGCAGTTCAGAGACGAGGAGCGAAAAGCAGATGGAACTGTTACCGGCAAATATGGTTGGGTTGCAGAAGATGGTACAGCGTATGTAGTGACTTACGTAGCTGATTCCAGAGGATACAGGTAACTTTCTTTAGTAAAAATCATGAATTATTGAGAAAATTAGGGATTTTCGACTAAGTTCAAAATACCTACTGGTTGTTGATGTCAGTATAATAGCTCTGTCTATATTATATTAGGTACCCACTTGATTTTGTTCTTTTATTTTTAGAGCAAATGTTGAAAATATACCAAGTTGGAGGCTTAAGTAGTCAAATCAAATAGCGAGTTCTGGCAATATCTTTGAAGATTATACCTATTTATTGATTTATTAACATTTAGAAATAACATTTGACATTGTATTTAGTTTCTTCAATATTAGGTATTGAATTATTGAAAATTGAAAGTATAATGTGATAAAATACCAAGGATGAAACGTACGCATTAAAGTAAAAATAAATAGATGGATACTACATAGTTTTGATTTTCTGAATAGAATAATATTTGGTGAATATTTGCAGTTTTGTAATTTACTTCAAGAGTGCTTTCTCGAACTGACTTATTAGGTAGGTATGCTGAAAATTTTGAATCTCTGTTTTAAACTAGACAAATTGCTGGAAATTTTTCTCTTGGTATGGGTACTTTGAACATGACAACACTGGAAAAAATCATACAGCGAATTCGCATGGCTTGTTTTTTTAATTCAGGCCTGTTGGCTGTTGGTTCTAAATTTTCTTACCGAATACCACGCGTACCCACATTATTATTGGGAAATTTTTTCTTTCGCGAATATTCGTGAGTTATAAAAAAATTCTGAAAATAATTTAGGCATAAGTGTAAATTGAAATCGCTATTTATCCTGTAGAAAGCCGTACAAAAATTGTAAAAAACTATTAACGCACTATCTCTAAAACAACGTAATTTTAAGCATCAGGCTCCCCGGTATTTAGTTATAAAAAAGCCTGCATTTACCATTTTTACTTTCCTAGTTGCATTTTCACTGGTTTTCTTTTCATCTTTATATGGAATAATCTTCGGTTGTACTTGATTAAATGTTCTACTTACATATTTAACATGTATCTAATGGACGTCAGTCGTTTAGTTTTATATTATTGGATACAATAATGTTGTTATGTATGTAATACGTTCATATTTTAAAACAGTAATTAAATTTTAAAGAGCATACATGGTGAATAACGTAACCCGTGCATTTGAAGTTTTCTAGTTTGCAGGTGGATTAGTAGAGATAACATTTAATCCACCTGCAAGCTGGTCTACGTAAATCACCCTGTATAGGCTTATGAATTTTGGAAAAGATCAAAGTATACCTACACCTACTAAGAAGAACTTTGTATTTCTACCAAATTGAATATAATAAAAATAAGGAAAATCGCTAACTTTCCTTCTGCTTGTGAAAAATCTCAGCTGGTTTATTTCAGACCTTCTAACAGAATTGTTATCAATATCTAGTGTGCGACATAGGTACCTATTTATTTGATGATCGAAATCGAAAATTGATATTTTTTGACGATAAGTCAAGGATTTAAAGAATCATGGAGCCGAAGAATTTTTTAATTATGGTTATTTCCTCAGTTTTTGGCCGATACAAATGTTTTTTTCGGATTCCAAAAAAGTTGATAAAATGATGTCTCAACCTACCTATCACATCCTACGTAACCAATTAACTCCGAAAATATGTAATTCAAGTTCAACAAAACAAATAGGTAGGTAATATCACCATTAAAAATTTAAAAAAATGAGGAAAATATATTTGTTATAAAATCCGGTAGTGGTATTTTGGTCCCCAGCAAACCTGGTTCTCTGATTTGTTATCCTTTGGCTTAGGTTGCACTCATGAGAACCTAACAAGTTCGGTAGGTACTTGTAAGTAGCGAAGCAGACAGTGTCCAGAATCAATGAAAGTTCATAGTATATGTTATTAGAATTCGGTACTACGCTTCTACGTTTAAGTGCGCGTTCATATTGACACCGCTCGAGCGGTGAGCGTTGCGCGACGCCGCTGTAGCGATGCCCAAAAATAATTTTAACATCATATTTCAAATGAACATGTTAACACCGCGGGACGCGCCGCTCCTGTGTGAACATGTTCATTTGAAATATAATGTTAAAATTATTTTTCTACTACCGTGCGTAAAGTACTCACTTTACGCACTATTCAGAAGATGTAAAATTTCACTTCACGCACTAGTGCGTAAAGTAATTCACTTCACACACTAGTGCGTAAAGTAATGTCAATGACAGGTGTCAACACTGTCAATTTGGCATTTTTTTAGTAAATTACTTCACACACTAGTGCGTAAAGTAAAAATTCTTCACGCACTAGTGCGTAAAGTATTTGTCTAAATTTATTTTTTTACACATATTTGATTGGTAGTAGAAAAAATTTTGTATGCAATACGTGCGTAAAGCAACTTTTTTCACTTTACACACTTGTTGCATTAATAACTATTTTGGGCATCACTACAGCGGCATCGCGCAACGCGCACCGCTCGAGCGCTGTCAATGTGAACGCGCACTAACACTTGTGCTATCCTTACTATTGAATTACATTCCGCCACACTGTCAAGTAAATTGAATTCGGTATTTTGATTTTTTTTTTAAATCAAAAAGAGTACCTACGCAGAAAATATTACTTTGCATAGGTACTGAGATTTAGCACGCATACTTTCTCCATTTTGGTTTTAAGTTTCAGAAAACCTCCCACGAACAGAATTAGCCGGACAGAAATAGCTGTCACTACTCTAACACAAAAGGGTGGAAACCCGGAAAGTAAATAACTATACACTTTCAGAAGAAATATAGGTACGCCAGATATATGTATGTACAGGTTGAATCACCATATTTTGACACCCACCTGTAGCCGTAATTACAGGTGATAGGTAAAAGCGTGTAAATACAAAAGTTGTAGCATTTTATCTGAACCGCCAGAATTTTTAATTAGATTGAAGAACTGAGCAACGGAAAGTAAAAAAATATGTCGATGTTCACTTTTTTTAAATGGAATGCCCTTTATTTTCTTTCAAATTCATAAAGTTCTCGTTTTTATAATTCAGAATACATAATATGTTAATGTTTCTTTCAATAGTTTTGGAAATATCTGGAGCTTAGTTATTCAAACACAGTAGTTTTGTATTGTTTTGATTCTTTCCGAATCTTATGCTACGAAATGAATAGGAACTCAAATTACAGCTTTTGTTCTACTTTGATTTCAGCGTTAATCGTTAATTCAACAAGTAGGTCTTATGGTGTTTTCTCTTCCTTTAATTAAATTACTTAAAATATCCAAATATCTGAAATTAGACTTTTTACGAAGTGAGTGATAAATTCTTTGGTGATAACCAAAAACTTTGTGATAATCGTATTATTAGTTTTTAAGTTTGTATTGATGGTAACCATAATAACTCTGAAGTTTGTGTCGAGTAATAAACGAAATTTTGTTTCAAAAACAAGTTACCCAAACTGAAACCAATTAAGTAAGATCAGCTTCAGAGAGAACAAGGAAAAAATAATATATCGAGCTACCTATAGCTTTCAAATCGTTGCTCGTGTTTTAAGGAAAACTTCACACGCTCTTATCAAATAAGTTTAGCTTCCACCGTTCCAGCAAAATTTAAAAAAAATATATCATATTTTTTTATTTGTTAAAATTATTAACATATAATTGAAGTAGGGTTGCTATCGGAAGATTATAAATAAAGGTAAAGATACTCTTCTGACAGTATGTGAAAGTAGTCAGTTGTTAAGTGAATTTCTTCGAACTTGAAGATGCGGTTTCCTCAGGTAGGTCACGGTACACAGCCAATTTTTTTAGCGTCATAAACCTCATTGGGATAATTTTTTTTTACTTGCATTTTCTTGAAGTGAAGGTGTTTTTTTTTTTAAATTCAAATAGATCAAAAGAATAATTATTGGGAAACATAATATTGTAAGTCTTGCTTGTATTAATTATATCCTGTTCTCAATCCGATGTCCACAGGTGCAGGTAGATTTATCACCTATCCCTATCAAATAGCATTGAAATGTGATAAACTTTACCGGTACCAGTGGACATCGGATTGTGAGCGGATAATATATTCCTTATCATAATTTCATACATCTGCAAGCAAAAGGAAAAATATTGTCTTTTTTCAATTATTAATGTTTAAACTATTTTTGAATTTTTATTTTTTATTCAAGTAAGCAAAATTTTCAGTTTTCTTTACTCACATTGGTAATTAACATCTTCCAATGTATAGGTACTTACCTATATTTATATTTTTAAAAGACAAGAATCGGAAAATTTCTAACGATAGAAATAGATTTCCTACTCTAATAATCCAGGGGACACTTTGAAAACTTCTCACCCCCAATATTTCTGAGGCCAAATATTTTTATGAAAACAAATGACACAAATGACATATTTTGACCTAATTCTCATAATTATGGGGTTAATTTCCTCGGCCCCACGCACCCCCACTCCAAAATCTTGAATAGGACTATGAACCTCTTTGAATAAAGACCCAAAAATTAATTTTCTGATAAAATGTCAGGAGGAAATTTGAAATGTGTTTCAACCCCCTAGTAGATGCGAGGGTAGATGTCACTCATAGAGTTTAAAAACAGAAGGGGGGGGGGGTCAAGGTGTCATGTTATTTTGAACGGCGATCGATTTTTTTTTTCAATGATACCCCCATCAGAAGTAATTAGAGCTTCGGGGCACTGAGATGTATGGTTTCAACTTTTAAGGTTATTTTTTCAATAAAATAATATTGTATATTTGCATTTTATGGAAGATTTTTCATTGGTTGGCTACTTCACTTTACGATAATAGCTTACGCTTTTCTTAAAGATAAACATTATAGGCCAGGGCAGTTAACAAAAATAGGAGAAGTTTTTGCAATCAAGCTGATTTTTTCACAGATGATAGTACCCATCAATAGTACTCTGTAAAAAAAAGTTACACCTCCTAGGAGGCTTGCTTTTTCCACTATGATGAATTAAAGATAGCGGCTGGTGCTATTCTTGAAGAAATTCGTAACTTTCTTATTTATTAACCGATTTTCGTCAAGTAAAAAAAAATAGCTTTGTTTTTGACTAAAGAATGAAATAAAAATATAAAATCATTTTAACAGGTTATATTTCTGTCAAAAAAAAAATAGGAATAGAAATCGAATGATTTTCTTCAATTTTTTCTGAACCGTAAACCGTAGCTAATTCTTGGTAACTTTTTTTTTTAAATATGCGGTTTTTTCCGTTATTTTGAAACAGTTTT